TAAATTTATTGACTACAGCAGTTGCATAATAAATCTCTTATTAGATGTTTTGGTGTGTAGTGTCGCTTTACATTTTTACTTGTTGTTTGTATTTTGACTCGCCCGTGAAACAGCACAACTCGTAAAAATATACAGCGATACTACGCACCAAAACATCTAATAAGATATATATATTTTTCGAAAGAATCGTAGCTTAAATATTCATAGTAAATCTTATTAAATATTCACAAAAAAGGCAAACACGGTGGAATTTTGAAATTTATTTGTGCTTTTGTTATTGTTAATCTTGGCTTTGAATGACATTAAATAACGAAGGATCCTCGGAAACTTAGGGCCGTTAGTCGGAAGAGTCGACGTAAACCGAGCGGCAAAATCGACCCGACGAAAGTTTTACTTCGTCTTGTCACAATGAACTGCCGCTGCATCCCCGAGGATAACAACGAAGTTAAGCAAGTATTAGGAAAAAAAAAAACTATGAGAAACGTTTTCCAGGTTTAGTTTGTTTAAGACGTAAAGATGAACAATTGGCCTACGAAATTAAGAAAAAAAAAACGAAAGATATGCTTGGTTTTAGAAATTGAATTTATAGTTTTGGAATGCAATATTGATAATTGGCTTACAGTTATGTACTTTGTCAAAAAATAAAGTTTGCACGGAAATCTCAGGTTTTGGAAGTCAAAATAAGTAATTGGCCAAGTATAGTAAAAAAAATACCAACTTCAAGATTAAGTGAGTTAAAGAAGACAAGATAAACAATAGGCGTACAAAATTCATATCGAACTATGGATATGTTTGGTTACAAATAATGTTTACGAGGTTAGTTAAACGTTTTGGAAGTCAAAATGAACAATCGGCCTACGCTTTGAATTTTGATCAAGGAAAATGTAACTATATGTTTAGCAGCTAAGATTAAAATTTCCCAAAAAGAAGCCTCCTTCATAGACGTTATTTGAATCATTACGCAACACTCCGGGAAGAAGTGTTACGTGACAACTCAAGTAACGCCAGCGCTGAAGACTGCTTTTGAGTTTTTTTAGGTCAACTATGTCCTGGAGTTAATCAGAAAAAAAAGCCAAAGTTGTACTTCCAGATAATTTTAATTTATATTTTACGCGATAAATGTTCTAAATTTTTCCTTGAACTGTGGACTGATAGCGTTAATAAATTCTGTTCTTAAGTTAATTGCGACTAATTTATTTTTATTCGAAACCTAATTTGTTTTTATCTTCAGAATTTAAACGAAAGGAAAATTATTTTTAATTAAGAAAAGTCCTAAACGAGAATCAGCCCTCTCAGAAGAATCCCAGATGACTATCAGCTCAATACAGTGTCGCTTGTGAAATTCCAGTCAAGCCAGATCAGTGACCTTCATTGTTCAAAACTAACCCCAACATCCTGGAAATGTACTACCCATGACCTACACTAAAGCACTACTGTTTTATGTCCTCAACAACAAAAAAATTCTAGAAACACTGATTGAAAACAAACATCTTTCAAGCCAATTGGTATAAAGGTGGTTTTCTGACATGGAACTCCCTCTAGGTCTGAAGGGTCTGTTCTACACCCCTGTTCTTCTGACTATCCTCACGTTTGGCCTATCTTTAACTCGTTAGTGTCAATGCTAACGTGAAGCCCTTATGACACCAAAATTTGTAGTGTTTTCTTAGCTGAGTTAATTAGTAGCTGTTTACTTCTGTGCTAATGAGCTTGCTGTGGCACCTTTAAACAAAGGAGGCAAAGAAATTATTTTAGAAAAAAAATATTTTTTTTTCAAAAACTGATCGAGTAATAAATAACAATTTTGTAAAACACTTAGTAAATTGAATAAATTTGTGAAAAGCAGCAGAATGATATTGCATTCAATTAATAATTTCTTGATCAGCCAATCAAATTACCTTGCATTACCACAAAAGGGTACAGTAGTTTTAGGAAGCTTCCTTTATTCAAAGGTGATAAAAAATATTACTATAGTTTCAAGCACCATCATGCTATTGATCTGAATAAAAAAAATTAGTGACAAAAATGAAACTGTTGCTCACCCAAAGAAAATAATTGTGATCAGTGAGAACTGAATTAGCCAGTGATTTTAGAGCGTGATGCACGTTGAAACTACAAGAAAAGTAAAATACTTTCTTGAATACAATTTTTCTATTGAGCAGCTACATTCCCAAAACAAGTTTATTTGGATTACAAAAATGTATTTTATTTTTGAAAGTATATACAGGAAAATTTTTTCTCAAGAAAAGCAAATAGCTTAGCATTCTGGCAACGGTATTTTTTTCAAAATCAGACATAAAAATGAAGAGAACCTTAAAAGGTTTCCTATGTTGATGTTGGCAAAAGATATTGTTTTTCAACTTCAAACTCAATTTAAGATTTCGAGGAAAACCAATGGAAGTGAACAGATTTCACCATAAAGCTGCTCAATAGGAATCTTGTGAGAAGGAGAAACTAGGTTTTCATGAGCAAATAAGTGGCTTGTGTAAAATCAAATTTACTGTAATGATTATACATGTATCCTGCTGTCTGACGTCTTTAGTGGTACACCAAAATGCCTGTACGTATATCAAAAAAGTGTACCTTCAATTTCTTTTTAGGAACTGAAATAAATTGCCATTGGAGCTCAATAGAATATTCTTAGCTTTGCATTTAAAGCATCCTAGCATTTAACAACGAGAATTTTTAATGAGCACTCAAAATGTCTGTACACGTCTAAAAAATAAATTAAATGGTAAATAAGTCTTGACTGTATTTTCTACAAAACTCTACAATGTGGAATGTAGAGAGTGTTAATTAAGAACTAAATAGTTTTGCTTTGATTTAGTCAGATTGAGTGTTCAGTTTAGGTTTCTTTTCTTGGATAAAGAGCATTTCATAAAATATTTGTAATTGAAATATACATTACTTTAGTTTATTTTCTGCATGGGTTTTTGAAATTTCACTGTTCATTTCTGAATTCGACAATGATAATATTGCAAAAATTTACTTTTTAAGGCAATTTTGGGCAAAATGTCGGCTCTTTTTTGTTTTATGTCTGGACGCATAAAAATACAACAAGACTTACCAAACTTTTAATTCACAGAAACAGATTTTACCATAATTGAGTTTCAGTTAATTTTTAGTGATGATTGCTATTGGTATGATTCCTGGCTCTGATATAATGAATTGTATGGAAAATATGACGAGCAAGCCACTTATTTGCAAATGAACCACACCCACACAACGCACTGGTCAGTTCTATACTCTGTTTACGTGGGTACTAGTTACATGTGCATCAAACTGGTATTGGAATACAATGCTTAACATCTTCAAATTGCAACTAGATAAATTTAAAGGTTGCAAATCCTGGGCTTCTTATCTTAACTATTAATTGAGTTATTGAGCGATTTTTTGATTAATTAAATTATTGGTTGATTTATTGATTGATTGGTTGATTGGTTGATTGACTGATTGATTGATTGACTCGGGAATTTCCCTTTACCTATGATTAAAAAAGAGATCTTTGAAAAAGACAGAAAATATGTAAAGTTTCTTCCCAATTTGCTCATTGACTAAAATAACGGCTGCAAAGGAGACTGCGAAACCACATGTGCACATGTAACTAGGAAATGAACAGAGAGTAATAAATTGGT